GGTTTCAGGAGAACAAAACAGACTTATTTTTGCTGATGACAGTCCAGTCTATCAGAATCTAGTCTCACATTTCACACAGTTGTATAGGACACAATATTCTGCCCAGAACGTCCTGCTGCCGTCCTCCTCCCTGCAGCTCTGTGTCTGCAGCTCTGTGTCTGCACCTGTGTCTACACCTCTGTGTCTACACCTCTGTGTCTACACCTCTGTGTCTGCACCTCTGTGTCTGCAGCTCTGTGTCTGCAGCTCTGTGTCTGCAGCTCTGTGTCTGCAGCTCTGTGTCTGCAGCTCTGTGTCTGCAGAGTGAGAGACGTACAGTATTTGTCATTGTGAGATTAGCTGCTGGGAGTCAGGCGCCGGCATCATACAAAACCATGAGACTACTTTTATGTGGAGAAGAAATGGATCAGAGCTGAAACAGGCTGCAGCCCGGAGGAAAACACAGAATATAGAACCGCGGAGAGAACAGAGGATCTGGAGCTCACATGTTGTTTGAGAAGCAAAAACTAACATTGTGAGTTTGGAGACTGTGTAACTTTGTGGTGAAGGATAAACCACTGCTTGTCTACTTGGATATTTTTATTCATCCAAGAGTCACTTTCACTGATCCAACGTTTCAAGGTTCATGTATATTCTTATTATAGGTGTAGGTATTTTTGATGATGAGCTTACATGACTTAAATTAATATCTATATATTCGATTGGTTGATTGGTCGATTTTGCATGCATTTTTATCTATTTTGGTGTTACCAAAGCAAATTCTTAGTTTGTGACTTCCTGTTACAATAGCCATGAAAATAATTCTGATTTCACTCGTTAGAAGAAAGACAATATTTCATTCTTCTTTGAAAAATCAAAAACTATAGTGGTTAAAGTCCAACCAGATCTTTGCTGTGTGTGATTGGGGTTGATTCTAAAATAAGAACAACTTATGAGCTCTCTCTGACACATCCAAACATCTGTTCTGTTCTGTTTGTCCAATTTTGTTTTGAAACAAACATTCATAATTTAAAGAATCAACAAATTATATTGATAATTAATATTAATATTAAATTAATATTAATATTGTTAAGATGCTAGTCTCATTTTGAAACCATAATTTAGACCAGGTTACCAGAGAACACATTTTTTAAATAGGAGCGTAACAAATTATTCTGAACAAACGTATTTTATATAGCGTCTCTCACAGACCAGACAAAACACTTCACCCACATTGCTTAGAATGAGTCTGGTGTGTTTGTGTGTATATAATGGCACATACTGGTTTCCCTGCTTCTGTCCCAGGGCAGCTGTGGCTACAACAGTTTATCACTCCTGTGTATGGAGTACACGCTAAAACCTTCATCATATACATTTGTTTCATCTTTCTAGTTTCAGTCATGACAACCAGAGCCTGAGTCATTCTTAAATTCTTCTTTATTGGGTCACTGCATGATGCCCATTATTATAAAACAACACAGCAACAATAGGAAATTAAAATATAATCATTATTAGATTCCAACACCGGCCCAGTCCCGTCGTGGGCAGCTCACATAGTAGCCATGTTCAAAGTCACGTCACTCTCACAACGTAATCGATGCAACTCTATTCCATCATTCTTTTAAAGCTCCCGCAGTGTAAACAAGTCCATACTGTGTGAAAGTGCACTGAAGCCAAGTGGGGCGTGTGCAAAACAAACGCTCAAATAAATTATACTTTACCTCATTATATATTACAGCTAATGTTTCAACTCGCTTAAGCCGTCAATGCAGAATTACGCTGTGAAAAATGGCAACAGTTACGGTAAGTATTGCTTGAATGAAGTATTATTGTGAAAGAAGAAATATTATGCATTATTTTAGTGGTTTTAGAATACGGCAAAAAATATGAAATGGCAAACAAACAAAAAAACGTGGATAAATATGTGTAACGGAATAAGAGGTTTTCAGTGTGAGCGAAACACCCCCATCTACTGGTAGAGGTGTGACATGACATTCAACTTTGTCACTGGGGCTGCACGCTTGGAAAGAAATGCATTATTGTGATTTTTGATTCAGTTTGTGAATCTGATCGTGATGTACACAAGGAGATTAATTATTTGAAGAAACAATAATGATAATAACATCAATAATAAAAAATATAAAACAAAATATGCAACAAGATTATTTGTTGTTTGTAAAAAAAAAAAGATTTAAAATAATTACTGTTTTTGCGATTGGCTGATTACCGCTAAAATTATGATGGATGGAGCAGTGCTAATGTTTGGGCCAGGAGCTGCTGATATTAGCATGGAGGGGGCTAAAAATCACTCCAGGTTGTTTTCTGATGAGGGACGTTAAGAACTTGATTTTGCATAATATGTCTCCTTTGCAGTTAAGATTTGCCAATAGAATATTCACACACAAATTTCACACTGAAAATTTTAAAATAATCCAATGTTTTTTCTATCATATTTGCTTATACAGTGTAGCTAGTCTTAATTCACTGTAGCATTATTAGAGTGAAATAGACTTTTGTCTGAAATTTGTTTCATATGCAAATGTTTTACAAGATTTTTTTATGCTTTAATCAAATATTTTTTGTACTTTTCCTTGGGGAGTCTTGTCTTTCATTGTGTTTCTCTCTAACCATATCTATAATTGCACATTTAATATTAATCTTCTATTGGCTTGATCTAAGTAAAAAACAACATTACCAGATTATCCCATTGGCAAATCTTAAATCTATCCAGTCAAAATGTTCTCATTCACTTCAACATGTTTCACTTCAAGCAGTTTTTGCAGTGCATGAATGAAAACCACTTGAAATTCTGACATTGTAGTGCATTGACAGTGAGGTATCATAACAACAACAAAACAAAACAAAACTACAGGAAGAGAACTCCTGAATAACAATGTCAGAACAATGTAAAATACTCCTATGGAACAGCCCTGAAGGAAGTCGGGTTCAAATGCCCATCGCTGGACCACATCACGTCCTGAAACTGAAGAGGAGGCATGAAGAAGACCGAGGGCGGGTCCTGCTACAGTGCGGCTCAGAGGAGATCATGGCACAACTTAATATTATGTAAAAACACCGGGGACTGAGGACGATAAACTCTTTGATCATAGAGATGTACGTGTGTTTATGATTCATGATTCATAAAGTGACTGGTGTGTTGTCAAAGGAAAGTATATATATATATGATAGTTATTAAAGCTTGACCCATATATAAGGCTGTTTGTAAAGGTTGTTTTATCAGGAAAACTAAAACATGATTTATTTGACTCTAAACTATGCCAAAATGTATTAATAATAATACTAATAATAACATTCTAAAGTCCACTTTTGTTTCAATCCAAGCTAAATTATTCATTTTGTTGAGAAAAATATCAACAAAACCAGAAACCCATATTGAATAAATGTAACAACAACAACTAAAATGCCTCCACAATAGGAAAAAAGTAGAAAGTCATAAAAAAAATTACATGATGAGCCATAAACAAAATAAAACGCAGTACTGGATATGTTTCTTGTCCTGCTTCTCCTTAAACTAAAACTATCCCCATCGATAACTATAAAGCCATTATGAGACAACATTGAAAAACGACCTAAAACGCCAACAAGCCCATGTTTTTTGTTTTGCAAGCTAAGAAAAAAAAATGAAAAGGGCAAAAAACGCCATTTAAATCAGCCTCAGAAAACCCATATCGGTTCATCTCCAGTAGTTGTGCGTTTGTGCGGTACATTCAAGCCGTCTTTGATCTTTTCTGCCCTTTTTCTGTTTAAAGCTACTGTGTGTGTACAAAGTGTGCGGTTTGCCTACTGCCTTTGCCCTCCGGCCCCGGATAAAGCGGAAGGATATGGGTGAAAAAAAGCATTACAAACTCAGACACTCCCCGCCTTCATATAACAACAATAGAATTATCTTTGGCAACGTGAGTTTCAAAATAGGTGATAATAAAGTGCCCACAGACCGTGATGTGACTACAGAAGTAAAGTGTGTTTGTGATGTCACGCAGATATTCTGGGCTTTTTTTAAATTGTTACAGAAATTATTGGATTAATCACAGAGATTAAAACACTTTACACCAAAGAAGTGAGATTTCTATAAGTGACCTACTTCCCACTATACTGCTACTACTACTACTACTACTACTACTACTACTACTACTACTACTACTACTACTACTACTACTACTACTACTACTACTACTACTACTACTACTACTACTACTACTACTACTACTACTACTACTACTACTACTACTACCTTTCAGCCTCCACCGTTTTCTCTGTTTTACACCTAATTGGTTGAAATGACTAAATATAAGATTTTGGATCCAAATTAACAACTGCTATTCTTTTCTATTCTTGTTTGTCCATTTGTTGGTTGCAGATCATGAACACACCATAACCACGATAATGACTTGTATAACAAACTCCACAATCCAAGACACTTTCTATACAGGGAGCTGGCTTCTAAAGATTCATTACTTTGGATTTTCTTTGTAAGAGATGGAAGAGAGAGTTTGACCTATTGTCAGTTTCACACATACGTGAAAAACTTTAACGTGCATCCCTTCGTTTTAGAATTTTGATCTTTCCAATATGTTTGCTTATGTCTCTTCACAAACTGTGATTTTTTGGGTAAAAAGTGGAGAATCGTTAGTGTGTGATATGTGTTTAAAAAGTTTATCGGCACCGGTCCCCAGTGTTCCAGGCGAACGACATGTGCAGAGGTAGGGAGTGCAACCAGTGTGAGGGATTTGTGGGAGCATGATTATTTTACAGTTCACTACAAACCTGGCCAACCGTTTCCGATTTACAAATTACAAATTGTCGGGATTTAGGCACAAAACGGGCAGAGCAGAGTCGGGTCTTCGCTAATCCCAGTCATAAAGGGAACGGTGAGGCTTTGTGGATCAGGAGTAGCTCTGGTCCAAGGGCACTGAGTCTTGCTCCGAAAGGCTTGGTCAGTTCAACCGTGGGGTCCCAGAGGGGTGGGGTCCCAGAGGGGTGGGGTCCCAGAGGGGTGGGGTTCAGTCGCTGGGCTTCTTTGTGACTGGAGTGGATTCGTATAGTCTGAAAACAGATGCAGATCTTTTATACTGGCATTTCACTGTAATAAAAAAAATGAGTAAAGAAAAAAAATAATAAAAAATAAATTAAAATACAAAAAATAAATTAAATTAAATTAAATTAAAATAAAAACAAATAACCCAGCCTAAAGCAACAGCATTCTAGCATCTAGAATGCTGGAAACCTCCAGCAATGTGTCACTTAAAATAGAAAAACATGCAATAAATATATGAAAATAAGACAATAACACAAAAATCCTGTTTTACAGAGAGTCAATTATATACTGTACACTCAGAGACTTCACACATCTCTCTCTCTCATTCTGCAATGGTCCAGAACCAAACATTCCAAGCAGTATGGAAACTGTTTTTGGATTACTGTTAGGAGGTATTTGATGGTAATTATTTATTTTAGTTATATACTTTTTTGCTTTTTAAATTGTTTCAATGTAGTTTGTGTTAAAATCCCTTTAAATGAGATTATTCACTTTGCTAACGGGAGGATATCACTGCATTATTACATGTAAAAGACATACATTATGCCTTTGACACAATTTAAAGGATTGTCTTTTTGCATTTAAAACAATACAAATGTTTTGAAATAAAAAAATCTATCTCTCGCATTCTAAGGGAGAGATTTAAGAATCTTCAAAAAAACAATTAAAGTACAGCAATATTTGTTTTTGCAAAGTTTGCATTGAAAAGACGTACAGTACATAGCTACTTGTGCATTTCTGTGGTCCACCTTAACCAATACTTGTTCTACGGCTGGTCACGTTCGAACGGCAGAACTTTTACCTCATGTGGGGGTTAGAAGCTTTACCTCATGGGGGGGTTGGGCCAGTTGGGCTGCACTGGAGTGGGCACAGTGGAGGACGGGCTCATCAGCATGGCACTGTAGATGTTAGCCGCCACCACCAGGATGCAGAGCAGGATGGGGCCGATGATCGCTCCCTCCAGACCCAGATAGTAGGCCCCTCCAGCCACTGCCAGGCCGGTCAGGTACGGGTGGCCCCCCCTGAGACACAGGCAAGGCAATGTGTTCAAAGAGGGTTAGGGTAATCTGACTCTGCTCTGTGGGAATGAAATATCACAACAACAAAAAGTGTGATGTCGAATGTGATGAAACTGATTCTGGAACGACTGCTGTGTCAGGATCAATTATTCACGCTGCAGCGGGATTCTCATTAATCATGCTATAAATTTAGACCTTTTTTTTTCTTGGTGTATTTAGATAATTACATGATTTCCAAAAACACATACATACAGACACATAAGTAGGCAAATGCAAACATAACTAACAAATTAATAATCACATTTGCAAAATAGTCATTTAACCACGTTACAACATCAAAGACATATTACATCAGGAAAATCTGGCACAAAAATCAGTCACTATGCAACGAGGAATCCTTAGACTTTGACTTGTGTCTGTCATTTCTTCAAGCAAAATTACAGTAAAATACTAACTACCCAAACGGCAACTATGTGCCTTGTCTGCAGAATATTAATTTTGATTAAAATCAGCAGAATCCAATTTCCCATTTCTTCCACTGGATGGGAGTATTTTTCCTTTCTATTTTTCTCTTATCTCATGTGTATTCATATATTTACTGATTACAAATCCATTTCACATTTTAAAACATGAACTGACAAAGTAACTTTCCTTCACATCGTGTTGAAGTGACAAAATCAACTCAATGAAGAATATTATTGGTTCTTTTAAGTTCTTTCTCTTTGTTCTCAGCGTACACTCTCTACGCAGTTGGACGTACCCAGAGATGTCGGAGTAGATGGCGGTGTCCACGAAGTATGTGGGCAGCAGGTGGAAGACAAGGAGGAGCACAGCCTTGACCCCCTCCCCCTGAGCCAGCCACAGGTCGCACACGGCAGGCACCGCCGCCCAATACGTCCCCAGGAACGGCACCGCGCCCAGAATGGCGGCCAGGGCTGCGGCCAGGACGGGACAGCAGGGGAGACACACACACACACACAGCAGAGGGTAACACACACACACACACACATACAGCAGGGGAGACACACACAGCAGAGGGTAACACACACACACACACACATACAGCAGGGGAGACACACACAGCAGAGGGTAACACACACACACATACAGCAGGGGAGACACACACAGCAGAGGGTAACACACACACACACATACAGCAGGGGAGACACACACACATACAGCATGAGAAGGAGTGAGAAACAAGAACGCGTGTTTAAGTTATGTGTTTGTTATTAATGCATTTTCTGTGTTATGGCTTTATTCTCTGATCTGTTGATGGCGAATGGACAACTTTGTAAAGTCCTCTGCGACAACTTCAGTTGTGATTTAGTGCTATAATAAAAATAAATTGAATTGAATTGAAGTAGTAGTATTGGGGGAGGGACCATTGCTAAGGGGGTCACCTTCAAAGAGCAAATGAGGTTTATGGTTTGTTACGTTTTCTTAACTTTTCTTGTTTCTTTCTGTGAAAATGTTTCCTTGGTTATTTTTTTGCCTGGACGTGTATATGCATATGTGTACTATTGTATTATTATATATATTGTATTTGTGTATCCATGTTTGAAAATAATAGTAATCGATATATATTGATTTTTGTAAATTATATCGAGGTGAATGCCTGATTCTTACAGAGCCACTCCTTTGTTGCCTGGGAAATGTGTTTGGGATTTGTGTTTGTTTCTGGAAGACGCAGCCACATTTCAGCTTTGCTGGTGTCATTTAAGTTTCTCATTATTTTTGCCCAAAATCCCCTGATGCGTAGCCCCAGAAAAGAAGCCCCAGACCATAATGTTTCCACCCCTTGCTTCACAGTGGGTATAGTTTTCTTGGTGATGCAGCTCAGTATTCTTCCCATTCTCTCCCACAACTAGAGCTTTTACCAAAAAGCCATGTGGTTTTCTCTCAGGTCTCTTCAGGAGTATTCTTTGTGGGACCATTTACACAACCATTGTGTATGAATTGCGCTTTACAAATAAACTTGCCTAGGCCGACTTCAACTACAAATGTTTTCTTTAATGCAGGGATACTGTGCAGTATAATAGTATAATATGAAAGCGTTTACTCCATGATTTGCTGTAGGTATAAAAGACTATAATTGTATTTAACTGCTAAAGGAGTAGCTCTCTGCCATTTCTGTTTTCTAATAGCTCTCCAATCAAAAAGAGGTTGGAGACCCCTGATCTAGAATAATAACCTCAGTTCAGATGATGATAAGCACGAGTGGATATGTTAGTGGTGCGGCAGATGCTGTGCGCAGACTCACCCGAGGGAATGAACACAATGTTGATGCCAAAGATGGTGTGAGTGAGCCACGTGTAGAGGCCGTAGAAGCAGGCCATCTTCAGAGACGCGTCGAAAACTCCCCTAACCAACAAACAAAGAGCTAGTTTAGAGGAACTCCGCACACGTAGACCTGGGCTGTTTCTGTGCACGTGTCTTTGATTGGGCTGGCAAAGTCCAGTCTGAGATCTCTGCATACAGTGCCTTGGGAAAGTCTTGTCGATTTTAATTAGGATTAGACCGAATAATTTTGCCTTTTTTAATATCAAACACATTCCCAGGAGACAGTAATCAGCAGAAAAAAAATAGTCTAGCAACTTAAACATGCAGTCAGTGATTTTTTCCAGACACCTTTTTTTTAATTTTGTGGAAAAACGTCCCTAAACCCTAAAACTAGTCAAGTTATCATGTGTTTTCAAATAGTATTGGAATTGACCAGATGCCTATAGTCTCTAAAAATGTATAAAAAATATTTTGGAGCGGACCGATAAAAATAAACCGATGGAATTCGTTCATCCCCAACGAACCAATGGGATGCGTTTACCCCCTTCACCCTCTTCCTGTTTCTTGTAAGTGCGCGCACCTGAGTTACCAGATTTTCTAAAACCGAAAATGGCTGAACAGAAAATGCCAATTTCACGTTTGCCACCCACTCTCCCTGTTGTGACAAAGAAAAGAAAATGCTGGATGTTTGGTTTGGTGGAAAGGCGGGGGGAGGGGGGAGTGGTGCTACGGCTAAGCTAACAAAATCTTTTACTGAATCTTTAAATGCCCGCAACAGCTAAATCACATGTATGATAGTAATGTTAACTGCAAAATCATCTTTCAATCCGAGCTGTGTCCAAACTGTGATACTCAGGCTTGATGCTCATCCCGCTCCTTATGGAACAATACGTCCAATGTGTTATTATTGCATTTCCTGTGTTCTGGGTTGATTCTCTGATCTGTTGTTAGTGAATCAACGGCTTTGTAAAGTCTCCAGAGACGACTGCTGTTGTGATTTGGCCTGTACTACAGTGAATTGAATTGAATGTAGTAGTCTCTAGGTCAGTAGCAAAATAAGATAAGATAAACCTTTATTCGTCTCACAGTGGAGAAGTTTCAGAGCAATTACAAAAATACAAAAATAATTAGATTCAAAAGAAAAAAAAGTTGCGAAATGTTTGTGGGGAAGCACATCGAAATTGTATAGTGTCCTTCACAACATAAAGTCTAGGGTCCTTTGATTTGTTTAGATTCAAGATTCAAGAATGTATTTACCATTTGCAGTAAAACCACATAGGAAAAACTGTGCAAGACTACCCCAGTGTGCACCAACGGCACACACCAGAGCTCTTGCCACAGCGCCATTTTTCGTGTGGGTATGTATGTCTTTGTCTATATATTGTTCACTACTCTTAGAATTATCTATTTATTTGTTTTGTTTGTATGGATAGATGTGTTTCCGCTGCTACTGGAAACCTGAATTTCTCCTATGGGGGATCAACAAAGTATCTATCTATTTATCTATAAGGCCCGCAACTCAATTTGTGCAAAAAAGCATCGACATCTCCATGGAGAGTGTTCAGTGGGAGTCCTTGTTTACCGGATGGCTTCTTCCACGGACTGGCCAATGATGTTGGACGAGGGCCCGGGCTGAGACAGAGGAGTGAGGCTGATCACCCATTTGACCGGTTTGTAATACTCCCCACTGGAGCTCAGAAGATAGAAGAGCGTCGTCAAGAAGATCACCTGCAAACACCACTACACGGATCAAAACCACTGGAAAGAAAAACCATCAAGTCATTTTAAATATTGCAGAAGCCGATTTTTTTTTAACCTCTTAACATCCGCCTCATTTTGGCTCGTGCACAATGGTTGGGCATACCCAAATGTCTTTGCTTATTTAAAAACACATCTTACATCTCACATGCTTGTGTGATGCATCATTTTAAAGCTAGAGCCTTCTAGTTTATGTAAAAAAACACTAAAATAATGTTTGTCATCCCTATTTTCCTCTGCATCCTTTGAAGTTAGGGAAAAAAACCCAATTTTTTTAGCCTCGCCTAACATTTTCAATTTCTAAAGGCCCTAAAAAAGGCATACTTCATTGTAAGTTCACAATATTCAAACCCTCTGTTCATTGTGTTGTTGACAACAACTGTCTAAAGTTTCAGACTTCTAAGTTTTATAGTTTTTATGCAGTTTCTCCTTTTCATCAAGTAGTGCACATTTGGCACAATTTGGCACAAGTGTGCCAAATTGTGCCAAATATCTTTACTTACATTTAATCATCATAAAAACGATATTTTTTATTATTGGTACTTATAAGTTACTAATCTATGTGTGTTTTTCTTTTTTAAATGTCAAAGTTATTTTTTTATGAGTGTAAATTCATTGCAGCTTCGAGAGCGTCTTTTGGCTTCCATTACGCACAATTGTCCAGGCCCAACATAAGACAGGACACCATTGTCCCACCCCTTGTTCGAAAGCGTTCCTCATTGGCTACAAGGACATGTCAATCGTAAATCCCGGAAGTAAAAGCAAACAAGTTGGGACCCCACAAAAGATCAGTGTTCAATGCGCAAACAGCAGCACTAGCTGCACTCGCGGGAGCTCTTGCAGACCCAAAAATTGGTCTAGCTTTTCGGGAGTAGTCTCCTTTGAAAGATAAGGAGCTAAGGAACACGTGGATACCAGATGTTTGGGTGAAAAACAAAGCTAAAAGTCCGTTAAAAGTGAAAGAGTAACATCTGTGCTCTTTTTTTTCGTTTTTTTCGCTAAAGATAAATGCACATTTTTGGATTATTTCTGCAGAATGGATTTTACTTTGGGAAATACAAGTGGATATAATTTTCCTTTGGACTGTTCCAGAGAGAATGATGTATTGCAAGCTGGGAGGAGAGCTGATTTATTTGTACAGCACAAGCCCAAAGGTAAAAAACAATTTCGGAATTGATTTATTTTGTGCCCACATTATGTGTTATATCTTTTGAATGCAAAGTCTGATGTGGTTTACACTTGTATATAAAGGTAGATAAGAAAATAAGCTTTAAAATGATATACAGCTTTTGGGGTTTGGTGTTCAAAATACATCTGCTATTGCCAGCAGAACATTTAAAAACATAAAAACGGCCGCCGGCGCGCCGGTGTTAGTAAAGAGGTTAAAGAAACAGCTCTGGGCCTCCACATCATCTCGATATCTCAATGTGTCCACTAGTCTCAGTCTATTCCTTTGATTGGATTAGGCTTAGTTTAGTTTTTCTTTCTGCTCCTTTTCCCTTGTGTGACCCTGACTACAATATTTGAAATACAATTGTAATATGTGGTCTATTGTCATGTCCGCAATAGAAATAAAAAAAATTAAAATAAAATAAAATAATGAAAACTGGTCTAGTGTGTTGTTTCCGTACCAGACTCAGGGCAAAGTTGAGCAGTGCGGTGCCGCTGTGGAACAACACGGTCAGCAAGGTGGTGGTGGTGGAGATGAGGAGGCCCACGTTTCTGCTCATCACGATCCAAAGAGACTCCATGATCTGCAGAGCGCACACACACAAACACGTTTCACTCAAAAGCACGGCGCCCCCAGGTGGACGGACCTTGCGGAGAACCTGCTCACAGAGAGGAGAGTCTCGATGTTCTCCTGGAGGAAAGAGGCCACGTCCTTCCAGTCCAGGAGGTCCACCAGCCAGCTGTTCTGCCGGTGCAGGTGCTTTGGGCCCCGGGGACGGCCCGAGTGAGTCACGTTCTGAACACGGGGCAATAATGATGAAGGTTTTTATTCATACCAATGTGAAGTTTGCACACATTTAGGTCAATATAAGCTAGGACTGTATGTGTAATCGCAATCAACATTGCACTTTTGGTGGTGGTTAATCGTAAGTTATTTTATTAAAAGAAAGAATTTTTATTTATTTTTTTCCCTCATGTATTTGGGTTAAGAGAATTGTATCTTGTTTAAAATAATTGCATATATTTAGTGACGTGTGAAAGTGTGAAAACGGCTTGAACCTCTGCACATTTTGTCATGTCACAACAAAAAACCAACAACCTTTGACTAAAGATTGTATTTTGGATTCTTTAACTCAGGCATGTCAAAGTCAAATACATCAGAGGGCCAAAAGAAATGTTATGCTACGCGCCGAGGGCCGGACTGGTTCAATGTTTCTCAACATCCAGAGGCAGTGCCGGTGACACCTGTTGGCTCGATAAAATATGCTCCAAAGCCAATCCTCATACTGTACATATTAGATGTAATAGACATCTGAGAACATGAAAATAGTAAAAAAAAAAAAAAAAGCTCAAACTTGGTGAAATGTAAAAGAGCAGTCTGGACCTCTTTTCGGGGCGTTTTTTGATTAAATCTGCAGAATGTATCATACTTTGGTAAATACAAGTGGATGTTCTTCTTCAATGAACAATTACGGAGAGAAAGAGACTAAGCAAGGATGGGGAAAGTCTAATTTGTTGGAGCAGCAGAAGACGAAAGGTAAAAAACGAATACAGACGTGATTTATTTTGTGCCCATATTATGAGTTATATCTTTTTAATGCAAAGTCTGATATCGTTTACACTTACATATAAATATAGCTGAGAAAATAAGCTTTAAAATGATATATAGCTTGTGGCTTATGAAGTTCAAAATACATCTGCTATTGCCAGCAGATGTATTTTTTTCCTCGTTTGCTCCTGCCGGCGGGGGCTAGCGAGCTTAAGGGGTCAATACGTTGCCTCAATGGCAGGCAATGTCCCGGGGGCCATAGATAATTCATTCGCGGGCCGGATTTGGCCCGCGGGCCTTGACTTTGACACATGTGCTTTAACTGAAAGACCGCAACAAAGTAACAAACAACTGTGACGGGACAAAAACAGTACACTGTATTTACTCATTTATAAAATACAAACTAAATAAGACTGGGGCTTGTATAAGTGAACAGAAAGCCAAAAACCCTTTATCTGCAATCACAGCAGACAGTCTTTTGGGGTATGACCTAGGGCGTAGGTTTGCGTGGGGACCATGGGGACATGTCCCCACCAATATTTGGTGAGGACTAAAAAGTCCCCACCAAAATGACATGATGTCCCGTGACCCGGACGGTCCGGGACACATGTCTTCCGTTTGTGCATACGTCACGCCTCCTCCTCGCCTCCAGAGCAACAGCAGCAGCAGCAGCACGTGACCCGTTCCGTTCTCTGCAGTGATTGGCTGTCTTCTTCAGCGCCAAACTGAAGCACTGAGCGACTGTTTAATTTTTAAAAGTTAGCCAGCGTGAAGCAAGTGTTTTTTTTCGTTCCCTGAGCGTTGTAGCACGTGAGTAATCAGAGGAAAGTACTGTAGATCTATTACCATTCAAAGTACTTACGTTATTTCTAATCTGTCAGCGCACTGTTTAATGTTCCGAGGAGCTCACACGGCACAGAGACAGAACAGAACTGGCTCCAATAAAGAAACAGGTTGGTTGAAAGGCTGAGAAAATACTTATTGTGCTCTTACTATCCAAAATGTATAAGTGGGTGTGTTGTGTGAATCAGGATAAACTAGGGATGAAAATATTCCACGGATCCACGATTTACAACCTTTATCTGCTGATAATGTAATTTCTGTGAAATGTGTGACAGCGGGCACTTGCTGTTATTTGCTCTAAGCACATTCAAGCGATGAACTCGAATGTGCACGTCCTTGTGCAGCTGCTGCCGCTTTGTAATGACAGCCGCGGCGCTCAGTGAAAGCACAGCTCTAACATGGTACCGAGCTCGGACCATATGCAGACAGAACCATGTTGCAAGTGCGGGTCTCCCTCGTATCTTCCCCGTTTCTCCCCTGTGTCTCTGACATGTCTCTCCCCTGACTCTTCCCAAAGCGCAACCAGCGCTCCCGAAATTAAAGCTCGGATACCTGAATTTTCCATTGCGTTAACGATGCATGCTGGTTGTGCGCAAAACACACCACAACAGGTCATTTAAGTTTTTATTTTGCATACTTGAGAGCCCTGTGAGTCATTACTTGCCTTTTTGGGTTGAGAGTGGAATAAAAGAAAGAAAATATAGAAAAATCCACACTGTTACTTATTGCCAAACTCTTGTTAACTCATTGTATTGAGAAATACTATGTAACTTTTGACATTGGCCAAGTTATATAAATGATTCTGCAGTTCATGTATATGAATGTCTGTTTTTGATTGTCTATACCTTCTTATATAATTTAGAAAAAATGCCACCTCCACAAAAAAAGATAAAAGATATCAGGAGCTTTTTTAACAGTTGGAAAGTAAGTAAGAGAAAGCACAAGTAATAGCAAATTATGAATTGTGATGATTAATCTTCTGTTAACATACATAGGAAACTCAACCAACAAGAGAGAACAATATAGGGAATGTTGAGGTAGAAGCAACAGGCCCTTCAGTGCATCAGGCGAGGTTGGAATTTTGTAGGTATGCATGGGACTATGAATTGTTTTTAGAGATTGATCGTATATGTCAAACAATGTAGTGAGCTACTCACTGTAGATTCTAATTCAATATTTTCTCCTCTGTTTTTATTTATTATAGGAAATTGAAAGATCAGAGCATGATTTATTTCAAGTATCGAGAGCAGTTCCTGAATTGTTAGAGCCTCAGGTGAGGGCTATTATGTAGATTTGGATTAGGTTTAAGTCAGTATAGAATCATACTAAAGTTAAAGAACATAATTTGGTTGGAAATTACCTATGCCAATTACAACATATTTTACTACTATAATGATGCAAAAAGTGTTGTCTGAAATCTTTTACTAAATATAGGACACTCTGAGAAATATAATGGAAATTCAAGAAGGAGATAAAGACAAGGACAAGACAGGACTCCAGGTGAGGTTAGGATTAAGCAGTTAAAATCTTAGACCCATCAACCAATTCTAGTTTCATGAGATATTTAGCGACTGGTGTACCATGCCTAGGTTTCATTTTATTCAATGTAGAATGTGTGTTTTTATTAATACCATAAAGGAAAGTCAGACAAACAGGGAATGTGCAGTGCTGGTAGAGGATGAGGAAGTGGCTGGACCTTCAGGGCTTCAGGTGAGGTTGAAAGTATTTATTTGGTTTTGTTGGTGGTTTTATTTTGTATGTGCTTAGATCTGATTTGTTTAATGTACTACATGTGTTTTATTTATTATAGGGAACTCAGGTATTCAGGGAAGATGTAGTGCAGGCAGATATCGAAGGTGAGGCTGGAATTATGAAGATAAAATATGGGATTTTTTAAAGTTTCATAACAGTGTATTTGCTATTTAGGAGGCAGCCAATGAGAGTCACTCTCAAGAAAGTGCCAGGGACAGCATATTTGATAGGTTGTAAACCATATCAGCCTGATCCTGAATACAGGATATATTTACTATCTTATTTACTATAAACATTTAAGCCATCTTGTGGACAAAGTTAGAATGAACGCAACACAAAACTCAGAAGCTCTGATCCAATTGATTTTGTTTTAACTATTAGAAAAAATCCTTAACTGCTTCTCATTCAGTCTACAGCTGAGTTTAGTATAGAAGGCAACACACTATTGCAAATATAGTGTGTGATTACACAACAAATTCTGGGGGAGAAACTCTGGACCCCGTGTCAATGGGTGTAGACTCAGGTCGTAGTGAATGTCCCCACCAAGATTGGAACCAAACCTACACCATTGGGTATGACTATAAGCTTTACATATCTAGAGACTGAAAGTTTTTCCCATTCATCCTTACAAAACACTCTCCATCTATTTAGATTAGATGGAGAGTGTTTGTGAACAGCAGATATCCCTTGGATTACAAAGGTCTGGATCATTCTAACACATGTTTTGTTTGGACGTATTTTATTGTATGAAGAAAAAGACCTTATGGCAAACATCCACCCCAGTCTCAAGTCTTTTGCTCAATTTAACAGATTTTCTTCCAAAATTGTCTTATATTTTGCTGCACCCAGCTTCCCGTCAACTCTTCCTGTGAAGTGACAATACTGAAGAAAAGCAGCCCTATAACATGAAGCTGCCTCCATAGTTGATACTGGGGATGGTGCGCAGTGCTAGTTTTGAGTCATACATACTATTTTGCAAAATATCACAAAAAAATAAGTTTTAGCATAATTTTGGCAAGAAGTTATTTTTTTCCAAAATGGTGCAGCCCTATTACAAACTATAGAGGAACGTAGATGATATAGTGATGCACATATAATGAAGGTATCGGCACTGGTCCGGACCCTGAAGCCTGTATGATAAAAAAATTATAAAAAAGGCCATTCATGATGAAGAGCCCTACTGTTCGGTCGACAGCCGTTTCTCTCGGGGGCTTTCGTTTTGAACAGTTTATTTATAGTGCCCTCAATGAGCCGCAGCGGCGCCCGTCTCCGTCTGCTCCCAGTAAAACACACATTTGTCCCATGTTGAGGCTGAGTGAAATGAGAAGAGAGTGATCCAATGAATGATCAATTTATCTGTAGGATGTTTTGCTCTGTGAACTGGAAACTGAATAATGTTTGTGTGGCAGCGATGTGGTCTGTGGGCGCCACTGTGAGGTATTCCACCGTATGTGTGTTCTTTCTTTTGAATTCGATTAGAAAACAAATATGGCCTGTTCATACTGCAGACCTGTGTTGAGATCAGTGGGGGCAGGTCCCGGCTCAAAAGGGTCCATGAGCAGCAGCACTGACATGCTTGTAATCGGACTCCTTGTCGGTGGGGGTGCACCCGGAAACAGAATTATCCCATAAATTCTAACCTTCTTTCCTCGAAAATGACTTCCCAACCTGGTCCAAAAGTCGGCTCTTGGCTCAATGCTAACTTCCAGTTACGTGTCAAGGCTGAGAGGATTTTTTTTTTTTTGGACCAGCCTAGTTTAGCCGCTATGGGCTTTTGAATGAACGTGCTTTATCAGTCATGTGTCAGGCCCTTCTAACGCAACGGAGCATCCGCTCCGAAAGCTACTTGCGCCAGCTAATGCATGTGCAAAAGTGTTTTTTCACCATTTTCCTGCAGGGCGGGCTACTCACAGCCATTTTCAAAAGGTGCATCTTGACCACATATACAGGCAAGATAGAATTGTTTCAAAAATAAAGGGGTCAAAACAAACTCAACAAATTCCAAATTGCACCCAGGACCCGGGGAATTGCATTAAAATGGACAACGGCAGGTTTATCCTCCGTGCAGAGCATTATAAACAAACTTTTTCAAACATTTTTAGAAAAATAACTTTTTTTAAAGTATAGTTTTTAAAACCTGTCATTCCACAACAATGGAAAAAGGTAAGAATGATAAAATAATGAATAATCAAACCGTTACAGGATTGATAAATAGTTACCTTGACAAACCAGGAGTGGTAAAGCCGGTCCCACAGCTCCAGCACCTGCTTCTCGATCACCGCTGTGTTGTTCACTTTGTCTTCTAAAATCTTTCGAAGCTGCGAACAAGATGAAAGATGAATATGAAACCCAAATGAATATTTATTTCAGTGTAAATCCTCTCCTTACTTTGTGCGTTATATATTCTCGTCCGTGCTGGTAAACGTTTGTAGCAGCAGAGTTCAGGGCCTTCTGCACCACACGAGCCTCTGGGAGCCAACTGCAGGACACAGAGAGAAGACATTATGGTTTGTGGGCAGAATACAAGGGTAGTTGTAATCTAAAATCCAAATTGTATCTATAGTTCCTTTGAAACTGAGTGTACATTTCTCTTACTTGGCCCACTCCGGATGGTTGGACACAGTCTCGTTGATGAGGTTACTGGTGACTTCAATGATGTGAACACTTTCATGGTGCACCTACACACAGAACATTACATTGATAATGGGGTGCAGGATTTTCTTCTATGAATCAATAATACTTCAAATTATATATATATATATAAATACATTGAAGCTGGCATACCTTTTGTATCGGTTTTATAAATAACAAAAAGTATCTCGTAATATTGTGTGAGCAAAATCAGAACGTGCCGTCTACATCTTAATAGAAACATTGTGTCTTTCACTCACTGAGAGCCAATCCAAAGATGAGGCTAAAAAAACTGGTGCTAGAACTGTATGAAAACATAGCTAGCTTTCTTGATATACTCCAGCTTTAATGAAATAGTTGAGTTATTTTAAATTGTATTCAGTCCAAAGTATCCAACTGTGTAACTTGTTTTCTCCTATCATCTGTGATCGTTTGAAACATCTACGGAAAGGACATAGAATTTACTTCTTGACATCTTTGAAAAGGCTATCAAAATATGTAAGGGATAATGTACAGTAGGCAGATCATAAATCGTAAAATAAGTCCCGACAGGGCGAAGCGGAGGGGTCTGCTTCGCCCTGAAGGTACTTATGACCTGCCTTCTATACATTATCCCACTTATTATACGGCTTTGTACCAACAGAACACACATAATAAACTTCAGTCCACTCTTAGGCAAGGCAAGGCAAGGCAAGGCAAGTTTATTTATATAGCACAATTCATACACAAGGCAATTCAAAGTGCTGAACAGAACAAGAAAGCATTAAAATCATAAATAATCACAGTACATTAAAAAAAAAGATAAAAATATAAAATCCCTCAGTTGTATGCACAGCTAAACAGAACTGTTTTCAACCTTGTCTTAAACATTGTCAGAGAGGAGGCTTGTCTCACATCTTCAGGAAGACTGTTCCAGATTTTAGCAGCATGAATCTGAAAAGCAGCCTCCCCATGTTTAGTTCTGACTCTGGGCACTAACAGGAGTCCAGTCCCTGTGCTCCTCAGAGTCCGGGCTGGTTCATATGGTACTAACATGTCACTAATATAGTTTGGTGCGAGGCCATGGAGAGACTTGTACACAAGCAGAGCTGTTTTAAAGTCTATTCTCTGAGCCACAGGAAGCCAGTGCAGGGACCTGAGGACCGGACTAATGTGGTCGTACTTCCTGGTTCTAGTCAGGACTCGAGCTGCTGCATTTTGAATGTACTGCAGCTGTTTTACAGCCTGTTTGGACAGACCTGTGAGCAGGCCATTGCAGTAGTCTAACCTACTGGAGACAAATGCATGGATAAGAATCTCCAAGTCTGCTTTAGACACTATGTTTTTGATCCTGGCAATGTTTTTTAGATGGTAAAAAGCTGCTGATGTTACTGATTTGATGTGGCTATTAAAATTTAAGTCTGAGTCCAGTATTACCCCTAGATTTCTGACCTTGTTTGAAGGTTTTAGGGAGAGAGACTGAAGGTGACAGATGACGCTCTCTCTTTGTTTCTGGGGACCAAAGACAATCATTTCAGTTTTGTCTGCGTTTAGCTGAAGGAAGTTGTTTTGCATCCACTCACTGATCTGTTGGATGCAGTGAAGGAGTGAGTCCACTGGTCCATGTTCTCCTGCAGTCAGTGAGACATAGATCTGAGTGTCGTCTGCATAGTTGTGATAGGACACTTTGTTTCTGCGTATTAACTGACCTAACGGCAGCATGTAGAGATTGAACAGAAGAGGTCCCAGGATCGACCCCTGTGGGACTCCACAGGTCAGGGCCATATGATCTGAGACACAGTCTCCAATCTCCACAAAGTACTTCCTGTCTTCAAGGTAAGACCTAAACCAACTTAGGGCGGTGCCAGCGACTCCAACCCAGTCCTCTAATCTCTGTAAGAGGATCTCATGGTCGACGGTGTCAAAGGCAGCACTCAGATCTAACAAGATTAAGATTGAGACTTTGCCTGCGTCAGTGTTCAGCCGGATATCGTTTGTAACCTTGACAAGAGCAGTCTCAGTGCTGTGGTGGGGTCTAAAGCCGGACTGAAACATATCAAATGAGTTGTTAATTATAAGAAATCTAGTAAGCTGTAGGTAGACAACTTTTTCAAGGACTTTCCCCATAAATGGCAGATTTGAGATGGGACGATAGTTGTTAAGTACCGTAGCATCCAGGCTGCTCTTTTTTAGCAGGGGCCTGATGACTGCAGTTTTCAGGGCCTTTGGGAATATTCCAGAATGAAGGGACATGTTTACTATCTGTGTGAGTGAAGGTAACAGACTGCTCAGAACAGACTTCAGAAATCTAGTGGGTAGTACATCCAGGCTGCATGTGGAGGAGCTCAAACTGGAGATTATTTCTTGGACATTTTTATTATCTACAGGTGCAAAGTAAGTTAGCTCAGAGAGCCTTTCTGGCTGTTGGATGGTTATCTGTGGATTGGAGACAATGGCGTTTTTGACTCTTAGGAATGCCAAAAGGTTTATTTAATGACAGAAAATAAAATAGTTCCCAAAGGCTTTCCCGTGGCTATGCGAGTAACAGATAGGCTAGCAACTTCCAAACTAGAACTCTCTGGAACTGCATGAAAACTGAACAAAGAACTAAATCCATAATTCGATCCTCTGCAAATGTGTCGTGAAATGTCCCAAAGTACCTTCCGGGTTCTTCGCGATTGCTTTTTCTCGCATTAAAACAGTGTTTTTGTCATGAAAACCTTAACAGATACTTCTGAAAACTTCTGTGCATGTGTGTTAAGACTGTATATGTATAATGTATTCTCCGATTAACATTTAATTGTGTTGATTAATTGGTATTTGCGTTTATTGAGTGTGGAACTACTTGCGGAGTAATCTACATATCTGAATTACAAGCAGAGAGTGCGATGCCATGGGCAGCGATCATCATTGTTTTGAGAGGTCCGTTATCAAGAAATAATGACCGGTAGAACGTTTTGAAATTACATTCAAATCAATGGAGCGTTCTACTGCTGCTGTGAGGAGCCGTGTAATAATTATTAATAATGAATCAAAATAATATCTGCAATACATAGATTTTTTTCTAATGATAGAAGATGTTTTAAAACTTTTAAACCTCCTAATGTTTTGTTGAAGAATTGTTGTTCATACCATCCCTAATGTATCTCTCCATTCAAATCAGATTCAGATTCAGTTTATTTGCCATTTGCAGTTAAAAAAAAACACATTGGAATACATTAGCAAAAAGTCTCCAGTGTGCACAGACAAATACAGACATAAAACAACATTAAAAGACAAAAATAAAACAAATAAGACAGTAAACAAATGTCACTGTGAAATGGATCGACTAAAACAGTTCAAAACAAGTGCAAATCATTAAAGTGCTCTGTTCAAACTGATAACAGCTTGTGGATAAAAACTGTTAGCGTAACGAGATGTCCTGCATCTCAGAGAGCGATATCTTCTGCCAGAGGGAAGAAGCTGGAACATGGCTTTCCCAGGGTGGCCAGAAGAGTCATTGACAATCCTAAGAGCTTTGTTTAAAAGTCTGGATTTATAAAGAACCTCCAGAACAGGAAGCTCACAGCCCACGGTCCTCTTTGCAGAGCGGAGCACCTTGTTTAAAGCACCTCAAATATCAAATATAAACACTAAACTAAATCTGTAAAAACATGAAAGTGTTGGACCTTACCATCGCGGTGAGTAACAGCGCCATCAGCAGTGTGCCCATCACCAGGAGGAATATGATGAAGATGCTGATGATTTTATCCAGCGATCGCTCCAACCACACAACCATCTGCCGTTCACAAACAAAGACAAAACCACGTTAAGCACAATATCACAAAGACCGACATGTAGAAAGTCTCATAGAGGAAACCTGGGTCCTTCTGCGAAAGTCACAAATCATCTTTGTAATTGGACAGTGGCCGATATGAGAGGACCGTTCAAGTAACTCAGGTTTCTCTATGCTGCCAGACGAAAGGACGAGGACAGAAAAATAATTTGATAAAAAGTTAAAGTGAAGTAAGTAAATGAAAGCAAACAGCGCTAGTGATGGAATTATATCAGCTGCAGATGCAAAAAAAAGTCATGTAAATGTAAAAGAGCTGACAAAGTTACAATCTTTAACTAGCAGTGAAACAAGCATATTATATAGCACGCTTTGTTTTTCTTATACCAGGGCCTTTCTGAGTGGAGTTTGCATGTTCTCCCCGTTTCTGCGTAGGTTTCCTCCGGGTACTCCGGTTTCCCCTACCACTAAAAATATGTACAATAGGTCTGGCATGCGCCTTCTGTTCGGCGACCCCGCTCCCATCTCTGTGTGGAGTGAGAGACAAGTGCCCAAAAAATAACAATTGTAAACCGCTTTGTGGCTCTGGTCTGTGAAAGGCGGTATATAAATAAAGCTTACTTACTTACTTACTTACTTACTTACTTATTAATCTCATCTAAAAAGCATCCGTTTGAACTTGTATTCACACAACTGGGATCTTAGGACACAATGCAACACTTTGTTATCAAGTAAGGATTAAAATGACTTGAATTCAGGTCAAATTAGTAATAAAATGGATGTTGGCGTTTTAGACTAGGGTAGGTTCATTTGTGAAGCGACAGAAGGTTGTGGGTTTGATCAATTCCTGTTTGCGTGTCTCCGCATGTCTGGGTGATTTTCCTCTGGATTCTGAAGTTAGTGACTTTAAACTAATCCTGGATTGTGGCATTAAAAGGGTGGGTCAAAACAGAACGGTAGGATATTCCCTTCGGTGCATGTGGGTGATGGGGGGGGGGGACTAGTGTCAAAGGGAACTCATCATGACATGGAGCGAATCGAGCGAACGCCACAGTGGTTTGTGAAGCGTCTGTAGGCACAAAACGGTTTTCTGAATCGTGTGTCAGAATGTAAAAAGTGGTGATCATTTGTTTTGCTGTACTCTCGTGAACGTTTAAGCATGAAAAGGGAGCCATAAAATAAAACCTTTTAATAAGAGGTTTCCGTACGGTTTTGTAAATAGGACCTTGATTACGTGGATTAGAGTAATGGCCCTAGAAGCTGAGGTCTCACTCTGTTTATGTCCGGCTGGGAAAAATACCAAAGCCTATGTTCAAACTGCCAAACTTTAAACTAGAACCAAGCAACACAACACAACACCAAGGAATACACTAGTCCTTTGTTTGACAGATGTGGGAGAGATGGGGATGGGGTTGTACCAGCACTGGAGTCCAGTTATTGTACACTTTTATCCATTTTTCTTGTAATAATCCTGATCCAGAGCTAAGGATGCATGATTAAATCACATTATCAGACGACCAATTCTTAAATTAGATAAGATAAGTAATCTGGCCTGGAGACCAAACCAGCAACTAAAACTATTTCATTTCATTTCTTTCTTTTGCACAATCTTGAGTGTTTCTATCCATGCCAGAAGTGACATTTAAATTTCTCCTGTGTGAGATCAATAAAGTCTATCTTATCTTAAAATCAAGACACATCAATTAAAGTAAAGTAAATATGAATTACAAGGTCTCAAAAATTCACAATCCTGAATTCAAGTCATTTCAAATCGTCTACAGTATTGCAGCAAACATTGATTGAGAGTTTAAGTAAAGTACTCTAAAGAAACAGCAAATACTATTTATACAGCTGAGGTTAAAAGAGACAAGTCAATATGAGTGTGTGTCTAGAAAAAGTGAACGCCCACATGAACAAGCAGCGAAACAATAAGACATTCAGAAGCGGTGGCAGGTGGTGACAGTGGATGGGGAAAGCGCAGGTCCAAGCCGCTACAGGAGTGCACTCAAACACATCTTATATCTTTCATCTTCAGACAGAGTTAGAGCCACCAGTCTCTCCCCGAGCGTCTCACACCATTACCTGCTTGTTTAGCCAATGCCACAGCTTGGAGGAGGAGACAAAGAGACATTGGAAGCATTAATATTGGAAAAAAAGATTTGTGTCGTCACATCAAGCCGTGCAACATGAGGAAAACTGGTGACCAAAGTGCACACAGGCTCCACCTAGAGGTCATGAGGAGTATTACAAGCGCACATACAGTAGTTCAATCCAAAAAAAGTCAATTTAACACTGAAAATAGTTAGTTAAAAAGGTGGAACATTTGAAAGAGTTAAGAGATTGTTATTCAAAAACCCACACAGGGTGGTTTTTAGCTACATCCACGCTGATATGAACTGGCAAAGATTGGCACAGGACGTCCTTTCTGTCCAAAAGCTCCATAGTTATTTTCTGCCTTTCTATATAAAAGGTATAAAAGGTTACAAACGATATCCGGCTAAACACTGACGCAGGCAAAGTCTCAATCTTAATCTTGTTAGATCTGAGTGCTGCCTTTGACACCGTCGACCATGAGATCCTCTTACAGAGACTAGAGGACTGGGTTGGAGTCGCTGGCACCGCCCTAAGTTGGTTTAGGTCTTACCTTGAAGACAGGAAGTACTTTGTGGAGATTGGAGACTGTGTCTCAGATCATATGGCCCTGACCTGTGGAGTACCACAGGGGTCGATCCTGGGACCTCTTCTGTTCAATCTCTACATGCTGCCGTTAGGTCAGTTAATACGCAGAAACGAAGTGTCCTATCATAACTATGCAGACGACACTCAGATCTATGTCTCACTGACTGCAGGAGAACATGGACCAGTGGACTCACTCCTTCACTGTATCCAACAGATCAGTGAGTGGATGCAAAACAACTTCCTTCAGCTAAACGCAGACAAAACTGAAATGATTGTCTTTGGTCCCCAGAAACAAAGAGAGAGCGTCATCTGTCACCTCCAGTCTCTCTCCCTAAAACCTTCAAACAAGGTCAGAAATCTAGGGGTAATACTGGACTCAGACTTAAATTTTAATAGCCACATCAAATCAGTAACATCAGCAGCTTTTTACCATCTAAAAAACATTGCCAGGATCAAAAACATAGTGTCTAAAGCAGACCTGGAGTTTCTTATCCATGCATTTGTCTCCAGTAGGTTAGACTACTGCAATGGCCTGCTCACAGGTCTGTCCAAACAGGCTGTAAAACAGCTGCAGTACATTCAAAATGCAGCAGCTCGAGTCCTGACTAGAACCAGGAAGTACGACCATATTAGTCCGGTCCTCAGGTCCCTGCACTGGCTTCCTGTGGCTCAGAGAATAGACTTTAAAACAGCTCTGCTTGTGTACAAGTCTCTCCATGGCCTCGCACCAAACTATATTAGTGACATGTTAGTACCATATGAACCAGCCCGGACTCTGAGGAGCACAGGGACTGGACTCCTGTTAGTGCCCAGAGTCAGAACTAAACATGGGGAGGCTGCTTTTCAGATTCATGCTGCTAAAATCTGGAACAGTCTTCCTGAAGATGTGAGACAGACCTCCTCTCTGACAATGTTTAAAACCAGGTTAAAGACGGTTCTGTTTAGCTGTGCATACAACTGAGGGATTTTATATTTTTATCTTTTTTTTAATGTACTGTGATTATTTATGATTTTAATGCTTTCTTGTTCTGTTCAGCACTTTGAATTGCCTTGTGTATGAATTGTGCTATACAAATAAACTTGCCTTGCCTTGCCTATTTCTTCAAAATATTGTATTACTACCCACAATCCTTTCTTCATCCATTAACCTTGGTTCTATTCCTAGTTTTCACATGCATGTATTTTCGCCCTCTGTCATATCTTTAGATCAGCTTTTATAGAAAGAAAAGTGAAAAAGAGAGGACAGCTCTCAGCCCAAAAGATCATGTTTAAGGCCAGAATTGACATTATTATCACATTTGGTCTTTAAAAGATTAATTGCACAACTTTACTTACTTGCCATGGAGATGTTATTCAATTGCTTGGAAAGTACCATTTGTACACAATTAGTTACAAATGTTTTTACTGCTTAAAAATCTGGATTGGTACATTGTGTGAGCCCTCCTCTCCACAGATATGACCTGTAACTCTGCCTAACAAAGTCATCCTCTTGTAAGAGAAAAACAAACAGTTGTGGAATACACTTTTAGAATCCATTAGACACAATTCATAAATGAAAGAATAATACATAGTTAGATTAAACTATTTGTACAGCGCTGTGACTGATTTGAACATGTTTCAGATGTAACTTTATAAAAGAAAATGAACGAGCTGAAGAAAACCTTTCCCAATTTGGCTTGAAATATACAATTAGAAACATCTGAATGAATACGGCTTGTTTTACAGTGAGATGCAGCCAAACGCTGAGATTAAACCATTCATCCTCCTATAATGATGACATGCATAATAAAGACTTTGTCATTATGGGGGTTACGGCTAGGGATGTAAAAAACTATGCATTTTCATGACCGACCACCGAGCCTCATTAACCGGTTGAAACCGGTTAACCGCGTAGTTCAAAATATTCCACGTTCTTTGAAATAGCAGCCATTTCGAGCCGCGTACTTTTCATAAGTTTATCTATGCGTTCTACTAGATCAGAGCTGAGACAGCGGCGCCAAAACCCGCAACAGCTTCGGAACCTTTGCGCACAGAGAACTGCTTTTTTAATCTTCCCATTCTTCTGTGCTGCGGCTTAAAGCATTTTTAAGCAAAAGACGGCTTGTTCACATGGTCAGAGCAGCGAGTTACACGCCGCGTCTCGCAGGTCTCCGCTAAAGTTTAAAAGTGATGTGTGTGGATCTGATCTAATGACAAGGAACAGCAGCACAAACATGTTTCATGTGTTTGGCTGGGGCCGCGTATTTGCGAGGATTCTTTGGGCTGCGAGACACAGAGGTGCGCGACAGACCGGTATGTGTGTGTGTACAATACATGTATGTATGTGTGTGTAAATATAAGCTCCAATGTAGTTCTGACCTGCACTAGTGTGGAACTTTGGCGGTAACAGAGGGGAGAGATGATGCGTGTGGATGTTACGTATGGAGGGGGGGAAAGTGTTTGTGTGTGTGTGTGTGTGTGCGTGCGCGCGCGTGCGTGTGCGTGGCTGCGTGCATATGTGGAGCGTGCGCCATGAAAGTCGCCCGTAGTCTACTAATGCATTGGCGCACACAGCTAGATACGGACCCGCTTGTCACATCGTACAAATAGGGCTTATTAATAGCCTTATTAAGAGACCTCCCCTCTCCACTTTTTCTTATTTTTAACCGACAGCTTTGACCGGTTAACGCTGTGACGGTCAACCACCGGTTAAACGGTCACCGATTTACATCCCTAGTTACGGCCTAAAGATAATCAGGAATAAGCTAAATCCACAAAGTAGCTGCTATGTATTTTTTGGCTGTAAAACCCCTCACCACACACTTTGTACACTTTTCAAAGCATCTGAGCTCACGACGCCTGGAGTGCGACCTACACCATTTTTGTTGTAGATCTGAGCACTGCTAATCTGAGGCGGAAGCAGGACTGATTGTTAGTCCTCTGAACTACAAGCCATAAAAGTTTGGAAACTGTCATGCTCTACTAGCAGGACTCTAAAAGTAAAGCGCATTATATTGAGGAACCACGGAATTTATTTACTACAGCAACAAACTTTTCACAATAATAAGCATTCACCACCAACGTGCCAAACCCAGCCCAGCCACACTGAGGAGCGGTTTTACCTTGGTGTCCACTCGCAGTAAGAACTGGGCCAGGCCTTTGATTGGCCCAGGCAGCAGCGCCTCCTCTCGCTCTCGTCCAAAGCCTTCCACCACAGACCACCACGAGCTCAGCGTACGCTCCAGGAAGCTCTTCAGGCCAAAGTGGACCACCAGCTTCTTCAGGACGTACACTGCACACGGCACGAGTCAAACACACACCAGGTTTATCAAAGTAAAAGTTGTTACATTATCAGAGTTATTTGATCATAATAATTTGATCTAACATGTGCGAGTTTGGTTATGTTTGGATAGAACCAAAACAGGACCAGAGAAAGAGAAGAAGAAGAAGAGGGAAAACATTTCTTATTTTCAACTAAGCTATTGCCAATTGTGTTTTGAGAATGTTTAGAATACAATGATGATTGCTTGATTCTTTTGAAAAGGGTTTTAATGCAATGTACAAAATGCCATCTCTTACTATCAATGCTTGTAATTCAACAATAATAATTCAATTGTAAAGTAAATTTGTACATCTGTCAACAGTAGAATTGTTCTGCGGTTCTGTTCAGTCACAACTAAACTCATTTTATACATAAAAAAAAAAAAATACATTTACCAAAAATGCAAGTCCAAACCAAGCAACCTTTGGATGGAACATGTTGTGATATCTCCTGCGTTATACCGTAATTCTAATCCTTTATGAATCCCACAGTGGGGAAATGTCAGTGTTGCATCATAAGAGCACACAGCAATATGAATGAATAATGACTCTGGACAGATGGGGAAGGGTTGAGGAGTTTGTGCCTGGTAGTATCAACGGTGGAACTAAAAAAAAACTAAGCAGGTGTAAGGAATGTTACCTGCGACGGGAATGGGCAGCAGCTGCAGGATCCACAGGTTGAGCCAGATCTGCACCAGGACGATGGCCCAGACCAGGAGGATGAAGTAGATGTCGCTGGCCTTGTGGGCGCTCTTGTCCTTCTGGAACAGGCCTCCGGGGAGGGGGCGCACTGTGCGAGGGCGGCTGGGGGTGGGCGGGATGGTACTAGGACCCAGGGATTCTATACCATCTACAGACAACATGAACAAAGAAATATTACTCTGTTCACATACTTACTGCATAAACATGTGTCGAGGATTTTAGTATTTTATTTCTGATTCTCAATTGTCTTTGACAAGTGCAGTTTTACGTTACTTGATGGATGACATAGAGAGATTGTTTCAAAATGTCACTGATAATTTTCACCACAGTGGGTTTTTTTATTTTATGCAAGATTTTTTTTTTCGAATGGAGGAGGAAAAATGGCTAATCATGACAATAATAAAAAATAATGCATCCGTTTTATGTAGTGCTTTTTGGACACTCAAGGACGCCTCATGGCATTATCTATAACCACCAATGCCCTGAGGCAGACTGACAGAAGCGAGACAACCAGTTTGTGTCATCAGCCCCGCCAATTTCTACTAACGTACCAGATTCAGTCTAGGCCAGTGTCTCCCAAAGTGGGGTCCGCGGCCCCCTGGTGGGCCGCGAGGGTACTGCAGGGGGGCCACGGGAGGTCATAAAAAAAATAAAAAAAATAATATAATTATTTAATGTTAAATTTATAATGTTTTGTTTGTAATATTAAAATATTTGTGTTCATTATTTGACTTGAATAATCCACTGTAATCATTTTTGTATTACAATGTTTGTAGCAGAGGCTATTTCCCCAAAATAAAATAACCAGAAGAGCCTATTCTTAATGTTGTCTTCTTGGTTATTATTTTGGGGGGCCACGCAGACCCGTCAGATTTTTAAGGGGGCCTCGGTGTTACTGAGTTTGGGAATGGCTGGTCTAGGCAATGTGGGTGAAGTGCACATATGGCCCATGGTGTTCCCAGAGGTCTCCCATCACAGTACTAACCAAGCCATGCCCTGCTTAGCTTCAAAGGTCTGACAGGATGTGGCTTTCCCATGCAGGTGGCGCCAGGGTAGTTTCATAGCAACTTCATAGTAACCAATAACGCTGTAGTCAACCCAAGAAATGTGTCAAACTATAACAGTATACAAGACCAGTTTAACTCTTTATAAAAACCATTTAGCTATCAATATCAATTATAAAACATAAATCAATCAAATAAATATCAACCAAAATCAATTCAATGTATTCAAATATTACGTTAGCATGTATACTTTAACAGTTTGCTTCCATGTTAGGACTCATTTACCAATTGATTTTGACAATAATGGTGCTAAAACTTGATAGGAGGCAAAATAATAAGTCCATAAACTCTCTTGACACTTCTGTGTTTTTCTCTGCATTGTCTTGAATTCTCTCTCTGTGTTGTTCACATAAACCACAGCTGATAGACTTGTATCCAAGTGGCTTCTTTGAAAAAAGTAGCAGCTTACAGTCCGGTAAGTACAGTACATACTTTGGTCAACGAGGATTCCAACAACCAAATAAATCAACTAAATAATAAAAGGCCAAAAAGACGATCTAATGTGATTGGATTTTTTGATGCAATGAGGTTGCTATGAAAGGATTTAGGGCCCGTCCCAATTCTGAGTTATGAGTGCCCTCCAATAGGGGAGTGCCCTCATTGATATTCTCCCCAAAAAATGGGACTCCCATGGATCTAGAAGACACCCCTACGTTTGCAAATCAACGTAGCTAATGTGTTCCACGTCACACACAACATCACATGCGTGTTCTGGAGTTCAGTTGCGCAAGGGGCCTTTTTAACCTCTTAACATCCGCCTCATTTTGGCTCGTGCACAATGGTTGGGCATACCCAAATGTCTTTGCTTATTTAAAAACACATCTTACATCTCACATGCTTGTGTGATGCATCATTTTAAAGCTAGAGCCTTCTAGTTTATGTAAAAAAACACTAAAATAATGTTTGTCATCCCTATTTTCCTCTGCATCCTTTGAAGTTAGGGAAAAAAACCCAATTTTTTTAGCCTCGCCTAACATTTTCAATGTCTAAAGGCCCTAAAAAAGGCATACTTCATTGTAAGTTCACAATATTCAAACCCTCTGTTCATTGTGTTGTTGACAACAACTGTCTAAAGTTTCAGACTTCTAAGTTTTATAGTTTTTATCCTTTTCATCAAGTAGTGCACATTTGGCACAATTTGGCACAAGTGTGCCAAATTGTGCCAAATATCTTTACTTACATTTAATCATCATAAAAACGATATTTTTTATTATTGGTACTTATAAGTTACTAATCTATGTGTGTTTTTCTTTTTTAAATGTCAAAGTTATTTTTTTATGAGTGTAAATTCATTGCAGCTTCGAGAGCGTCTTTTGGCTTCCATTACGCACAATTGTCCAGGCCCAACATAAGACAGGACACCATTGTCCCACCCCTTGTTCGAAAGCGTTCCTCATTGGCTACAAGGACATGTCAATCGTAAATCCCGGAAGTAAAAGCAAACAAGTTGGGACCCCACCAAAGATCAGTGTTCAATGCGCAAACAGCAGCGCAAGCTGTACTTACGGGAGCTCTTGCAGACCCAAAAATTGGTCTAGCTTTTCGGGAGTAGTCTCCTTTGAAAGATAAGGAGCTAAGGAACACGTGGATACCAGATGTTTGGGTGAAAAACAAAGCTAAAAGTCCGTTAAATGTGAAAGAGTCTGTGCTCTTTTTTTTCGTTTTTTTTGCTAAAGATAAATGCACATTTTTTGATTATTTCTGCAGAATGGATTTTACTTTGGGAAATACAAGTGGATATAATTTTCCTTTGGACTGTTCCAGAGAGAATGATGTATTGCAAGCTGGGAGGAGAGCTGATTTACTTGTACAGCACAAGCCCAAAGGTAAAAAACTATTTCGGAATTGATTTATTTTGTGCCCACATTATGTGTTATATCTTTTGAATGCAAAGTCTGATGTGGTTTACACTTGTAGATAAATGTAGATAAGAAAATAAGCTTTAAAATGATATACAGCTTTTGGGGTTTGGTGTTCAAAATACATCTGCTATTGCCAGCAGAACATTTAAAAACATAAAAACGGCCGCCGGCGCGCCGGTGTTAGTAAAGAGGTTAAGGGTGAGAGTGCACTTGCCGTTGCTCCCCAAGTGTTGGGACACCCTACACCCCCTCCAGGCAAGCGCAAAAACAAATGAAGGGTTATGGCGCGTTCAGACCGGATCATGCGTTGCGTCGGGTTTCAATGCAAAGTCTATGGTGATGCGCGTTGCAGCGTCACAACGCACGGACCTCTCGGCACGCACAAACGGACTGTTCAATAATGACGCACAGACTTGGCGGGAAAGTCAAAGGGGAGGAGCAGGAGCGAAAAATCAACGCCCACAGGAGATGGATTCTGCTCATCCTTTCTTTGGGACGTTCGTGCGACAACCAATCAGAGAGCCGCAAAGTGGTCACGGGGACATTAGCGGACTGAGCGAGCAGACTGAAAATACTCGTAAACAGCCAAAACAGGACCCACACCAGGCTTCACCAGAACTCAAACCAGGGTTGACAATGGGGGACTCTGTGCTTGTGAAAATATGGGTTTTCATGCGCCCGTGACCTTATGCAACTGCTTTGAGTGTGTTTGCCAATGCGGAAATACCGTTTTATAATATGAAAACACGTATGGCGCACCTCCGTGAACACATACTACTTACGTGGCAATAAAAATGATTCTGATTCTGATTCTGATTCTGATACTGTTATATAAAGCCCGTGGAAAGTCTCTGTTCAAAGAAACGCTGCAAAGCTGCATATTGGAGAAGATCTGTACACAAGAAGCTGCTAGCATAGCTCTGTTAGCATTAGAGCCGGCCGGCTACATTCGGTACTTCCGGCTCGCGTCAGGACGTTCTGGTGTGAAGTCCTCTGCGTCTGAAAACTAGAGAATGCGCGTCTGGTGAGCGGGGCTTCAACGTTTCAGCGTTGCCGGTCTGAACGCACCATTAGGGTGAGAATTGGGATGGGGCTTTGGCTTCTAATTGCACACAAAGATTAAATGGAAATAAAGACCACTGTCCTATTGGGTTTGTGTTGTGTCCATCCACAGTCTCCAGCTCTGCTCCTCTGACCCTTCACTCGATACATGTCTCTCACCTGTTGTACATGCTGCTCCCGGCTCAGTTTTCGGCTGCAGATTGCTACATGAGATCGCCATGTAAATAGTGTTGGCTGCAAACGACAGCATCTGCCCTGGCAACTCCCCTGGCAAGACCAAAACAAGGAAAAAAAAAGACAAAATCAGCCACAACAATGCTCCTTTTTTTTTTTTCAATCGCTGTCATGGTTAAGTGTATTCCTACCACCCATTTTAACTGTTACATTTATGTTACATTAATATTATAAATATATTATCATATTTATTTTATTGTACCTGACCAAATGCGTACTAGGAAAATATGTTTAATGAATGAGTAATTACAGCCCCCTGTACCTTTGCCAGGAACAGGGGGCTTCTCTTGAGAGCCCACGATGAGGAGCACGACGACAACCACAAATAAGAAAACTTTCCAAGAACCTGTAAGTGACACTACAGAGAAAATCACATGAATTATATTAGGTCAACGTTAAAAGTTATTATACTTTCATTTAAGTTCCCTGTCCACACTAGCTTCTTCTCTAATTGCCTCAGACACATTTGGAACATTTCATGCCACAAAGGTCACCACAAGTCCTAATGTTACTAAAAATACAATGCTGAAGTCTTCCTCATCTTACACTTGAGGGCACTCCATTCTGTTCATGGGCAAGTTAGGGCCCCTACACCTCACAGCCATATTCAATCATTTCCAACTGCTTTTCAGAATGATATACATTTTGTCAGAGGCAATCATTTATAAAATGGCAAAGACGCACGTCTGCACAGGTCCTTAATGATTTCACTCACCGATGTAGAAGAGCAGCACAGCCCAGACCGGCAGAGCCAGGGCCCTCAGGTAATTCTCTGTACTGGGACTCCACTTAAAGCACACGGCCAAGAGGTACCCCACCACCACAGTACCCACCTGGAACCACACAAAGGACATGTTAACTGCACTTCTGCCGTTTCATACAGTCTGTGAAGAGCTCTGTGAATAATCACTGTAGTACATATGATCATGATGACTGACATCTGAAATATCACTAAATGTAAACACAGTAAGTTTATTAAGCTGTGTCAAAATGAATATATATATATATATATATATATATATATATATATATATATATATATATATATATATATTGAAATATATTCTCAGGGTTCTTATGGTATCAAACCTGCACAAGTGACATGTGACAGCCGTTGTACCACACGTTTGGCGACTCTACTGTACAAGGAAATATAATACACTACATCGTTTGCAGCGTTATGCAAATGATTCATTTGTATCTGATCAGATCAGACCCCGGCTGAGGCTGTATGTGTTATGAATATGACAAACAGTGGACAGTACTCACCCACACCAGGTGGAAACAGTCCAGCACAGCCCCGACCACCCCGCAGAAGTGTCCCAGGACCACCTGCATTCCCACCACGCTCCAGAACAGGTAGACGCAGTAGAGCAGAGGAGCTCCAGCCCCGATCACCAGCAGGACCGTCAGTCTCTGCATGACCAGGCGGCCCATCGCGTCCACCCCATGGTTCACACACCACACTGGCACCAGCAGCGTGCCCAGCACTATGGGGGTCCCGGTGTCCTGAAGCCCGTTGAGCCAGGAGCGGCCCAGGTGGGCCAAGGAGTGCTTGAAGGGGTGAAGGAAGGTCCCGCAGAGAGTGGCCCAGAGCAGGGGTCTGAGGAAGGCCTCCAGGATGAAGAAGACCAGCACTGCCGCCCCGCAGCAGATCAACACGAAGATCATGGCCCCCGTGTTGTAGAAGGCCTGTTTGATGTTTTTATCAAACTTCAGCGAAGGCTGCGCCAGCAGCTGGCTCATCATGCCCACGGCCGGCTGCACGCTCTCGGAGAAAGACACGAAGTTTGGCCGCCCAGAATGCGCCATCTGCGGGGGACTGGGACCGGGCTCCGGGGGACAGTCCGCCTCGTCTGCGGCTGCCATGTTCAGCTCCTCATCTGTCCCGACCAGGTACCACCCACTGCCCTCCCCTGCCCGCGTGCGCAGCCACAACAAATGACGTCACGCGCCAAGCATAATGGGTAATGTAGTTCTTGGTTCTTTATCCAAAAAAAAAATAGTCTATGGAAAAAGTTTATGATACGTATATTATGTATTTATTATTTATAGTGCACTCAAAAGTACATTAAATAATTTAATTAATTAAATCATATAATTAGAAAGTTACAAATGTGTGAATGATTAAAATGGTAAAGACTTTTGTCAGATTTATCAGTTTTAAAGATCAGTTCTACTTTCTGTACATTTCAACATATTTTGTTTTTGCGTTATTATAAACCTGAAATGTATTAAATGTATATTTTAAGCAGATGTTGTTGAACTAGAATGAGTCAATGATACAAATCTGTAACATACTGTACTTAAAATCATAGTCACAGAAATGTACCTATGCTGCATTTATTTGAACAGTTGTTTAATTGTTTAAAAAAAACTCAAACTATACAAATAAACTACATTTTCTTAGAGAGGACTTGTTACACATTTGGGTGTGAAACAAGTCAAATGACTTACAGCCCAATCCTGAGTTAAAGACATAACATATCTATGGCAACACTAAGACCCCGTTTGAAACGTTGTGAAATGCACCTTTGAACAGGAATGATAACATCAAACATCCTCTCTGACTCCTCACCCAGACACAAGAATGAATAATATTAATAAGGTAATATGTATTTCTCTTTATTAACCATACAAAATATGACAGGTGTCTATGGCACTCCATTTACTGCTGCAGTCTATACAGTAGCGGTTTCACTGAGAATAATGTAAACATATGTTTAAATGACATGTAAAGATAGCTACTGCATTACTGTATGTCTTTCTAGTGTCCAAAAGTGTGTCATCTTCTCAGCTTCTTTTTCCTTAAGCAAAATCCACATCAGAGTAAAGTCTTTGATCCACAGTGAGTTTAAAGTCTTTTGACACATTTTAAGTGTTTATAAACTACATGCAGCTGGTGCATAATAAATTGTATTTCTTATATGTAATAAGTAATTTGTCATCATATTTGTGTATTATACTGTATGTGGAAGCATAAATACTGTTTAAAACATCTCTAACTACTCTATTTTACTCGTTTGTATTTTTTATCTGCTGCGCTGTGCAAAGTTCACTTGAGTGAATATGGCGTCTGTGTTATTGCTCTGTCTCTTGTGCTGGTTCTTTCCCGTTGTCATGGAGACCCCATCAGCAGGTAGAAGGTGAGGGCCACGATGAGCAGGAGGCAGATAGGGGAGTTGAAGGTCTGGTAGGCCGTGGACGGCATGAACACGTCCTCGTACTTGTAGATACTGACCATGTGGTCGCTCACCGGGGGACTGTCGATGTCATGTCGGGTGATGGAACCTGGAGGAAACAGAAATGCACAGTAATCATAAATACATGTTGAGATATGCACACATGACTTGTTAGAATACCACTAATACTGTAATATTTAATAGTTAAGATGCACGTATTTATGATTTAAATGTTACCTAGTTTTGGAAGTTTGGTAAAGTTTATAATATTATGATGTGATAAAGTGGTGAACATGAGACGTATCTAACTTATATAAACTGTCACTTCATTGATTTTCCTTTGCAATAATTGTATTTGAATTTGATGATATTTTATGTCCATTATGTTTATGTTTATGTGTTTACGTGAAGCTGAATAACATCCTCTATTTTTACCCATTCACCCTTACACTATTTAATAAAAGTGCATTCATTGTTTTGTTATTTTTAGTAATTTTTCTCTTACTTGAACAATTTTCATTTGTTCTTTACTAATACAAACACACAGACACAGTAACATTAACAAGCTTCATCAGAATGAACCCCTTATTGCTGGTCCATTGTCTTGTTTGTCATCACCTGTAGGTTTCCTGGTTTTTGTGTTTACATTTTGAGTTTGTTTTTACCTTGAACTTTTGCTTGATTATGTTTTCAGAAGGTTTACAAAGAAGGTTACAATAAAAAAACCACAACATTTTCTTAAACGCACTGATCCTTATCTGATGTGAATCTACTGGACATAATTACCAGAAGTTCTGTCCCACCGAGAAAAGTCATCACTCACAATCGTGTACCTAACAAAGTTAATAAACATCCTGGCACACCCCTCGTCTCATATCTACAATGAACTATTCTTCTGATGTCACTTGTGTCATCACTTGTGTGAGCTGGAATATATAGGTGAAATACTGTATAGAATTCTGTAAATCAAGTTCAAATGTAAAACCAGTATAGACTCATTGCAGAAGTGACAGATGCCTTTGTTTGTTATAATTGTGATGATTATAAGCTGTGAGCCAATATCAACATAAACAACAATATATAAACATAATAACAAATAAAATCCTTGATACATCTCAATTTGTGTTTAATCAGTCTGTCACATTTTAGTTTCATTTTGCACATTGAAATACAGAAGTAAATGGACTTTTGAACAATATTCTTTTACTTTTTTTTATTGGTGAATGATATTCTAATTTACAGAGTTTCCCCTTTGAATAAATAAGCCGAGCGGAGCGGTTTATTTCACTTCACTTCCAAAACTAACAAGTAGCCATCAAGAAGATTGTTCTCCCAATCACATACAACCTACATCCTGTTAGTCATGAGGTGAAGAGATGGAAGGACTCAGATTGCAGGAATTAAAAAAATATAATGTAATGAATATACTGTAAAAGTCAATGGCAGGAAAACAAACTCAAAATGTAAACACAAGAACCAGGAAACCTACAGGTGAGGACAAACAAAGACAATGGACCAGTGTGAATCCCATTGTGGGTCAGAGAGACTGGGTCTCAGGGTCCGAGGAGCGGACTGCAGAAGCTTTCTCCATTTGCAAATGATTGTCTCTAATATGTACTTTTTACTTTCATTAAACCACACAAAATGCAACTTTTTTCCATGGATCAGAGAAGAAAAAAATGGCTAATCTTGACAATAATAAAAAATAATGCATCAGTTTTATGTAGTGTTTTTTGGACACTCAAAGACACCTCTCATGGAGCACAGGGTGAGACCCGGGTGAAACACATTTGGGCGAGACAGGGAACAGGACAGGAAGTAAAACAAAACTGAAGTCAAAATAAAACCAAGAACAAAAATAAAATCCACTCCATGACACTATTTTATAACCACATCCATCACAGAAGTTTTCCCTGGACCTAATATGGCTGAATCCGCCACTGCTACCACCACACACACTTCAGCACACACACATCACACACACGCACACACCTTGTATGGCCGGGCCCCAGGCGAACAGGTAGTACCAGGACAGGTGCAGGTCGACCAGAGTCTCCTCTCGGGGCACGTAGAGCGGACGTTTGAATCGACACGTGACACGGTTGTTCTCAAAGATGCCCTCCTCGTCCCGGGCCGGGTTCCTCTTGATCTCTTTGGCCCACTGTCCCACGTTATAGAAGTGATGGATACGCACGCGCCCATTGTCGTCGTGCACACAGCCCATGACATCATCTCCTCCCTGGAATAAGGACACATGATTAAAGCTGAAGTACCTACAGTAAGTTTCAAACCAGAAAAATATCAATTGAGTTCATGAAATCTATCTATTCGATTCTATTCCATGCAACTTATTTTTGTATAGCCCTTAATCACAACAGTAGCCATTGCGGAGGACTTTACAATTTTATCGAATCGCCAACACAGATCAGATAATCAAACATCCACCCTCACTCAGCTCTCAGCAGGGATCTTTCTTTCTATACTGTAAAAGATAACAGGTTTTCAACAACAAAAAATAAGATAAGATAGACTTTATTGATCTCACACTGGAGAAATTTACATGTCACATGTGGCATAGATAGAAAGAGAAAAGAAAAGTGTGCAACAAACATAAAGAATTTAAAATACAGTCTGTGCAGGATATAATTACGTACTATCAAAAAAAGTGGCAATAGCAGGGCTGTTTTTCAATATGAGATGTTATGGTCTGATTTGTTCACAATATTTAATTCTTTAATTGTATCATTTATGGTTTTTCTCTCTGTTGGCACTAACAAAATATGTTATTCTGTGAAAAAATTTGGTACCACCAGCTTTACTTTTTCAGTTAGAACTGTGTGTATTTGTAGGGATAGAATAAGGCCTTGTCCAAAAAAATCTTGCAAACTTAGATAAAAAATATATGTTGCACATTTTAAATTACAACAATGATTCAAGAATCTATGCACAAGGTACATTAATAGTTTGGTTCTAAAGCTGAGAAAGCAGAATAAATCATGATGTTGGCAAAATGGTGCTTAACAGAAATAATTCATGAAGATAAACCGTAAAGTAAAGATAAAAACTGTTTATCTTCATGAATTATTTCTGTTAAGCACCATTTTGCCAACATCATGATTTATTCTGCTCACACCTCTAATGCAGTTGTCCCGACAAAGTTTTGCTCCGTTTCTTTGTTCCATCTCTTGTGGACCCACACGCGTGTCTCTTCCCATCCTTATATAAAAGCAGTAAAAATCTCACCATTTTCTTGTCGGAGGAGAAACCAACTGCGACCCATCCGTCTGTGTCAGCACTGAGCTCAAACTCCACATCTGTCCCAATGCGCCGATAACTCAGGAAGTATTCACAGCTCTCTGCATCACAGCCGGGCTTACCGTACCTGCCACACAAGTATTTAAGGAACTTCAGGCAAACGGCTACTTTTCTCATTTCTAACATAAATTAGTTTCAGTGCTGGTTGGTTTGCTATGAACACACAGTAAGTACATGGAGAACCAACAAACAAGTAGACACAACTAAACTCAAGCTTTTGCATGACAATACATTATTATCCAGACAATAGATGAATATTATTGTCTATGTCATTCATTTATACTTGCATAATGATAAAAATACTGTGAAAGAGCTCCCTTCCTCCTACCTGATGCAGCCTTTGGTGACTCCACAGTCAGTGACTTTGATTTTGGCAAATGGGTCCACAGGAGGAGCAGTGGGGAACGGATATCCTGTGATAGATAAAACATAAACAGACCTAAGAAACCTGGCAGAGCAGAATCAGTGAAGCCAGACACAGCAGGACCGTGTGGGGAACCGGAGGGGGACGCCAGGAGCTGTCCTGGGTCCTGAAATGACCTCTGTGCTCAGCACTGAGCACTGAGCCTTTACATTCTAATAAGCTCCTACTACAACAGCAATAGCAGCAGTTATACTCTCAGGACATTACTTATTTATGTTGACGTGGCCTACATTCGTAACATGAAGACGAAGCTTACCGTCATCGGACAGATATTTAGACTCGAGGAACTCCGAGGCGAACGTGCTGTAGGAGTCTTTATGAGGCTCGTGGTGGCCCGGGTCTCCGTGCTCGCCATGTCCGGCCCTGAGGGATCCCTCGTCGGTGGGACTCGGTGCGACCCCCATCCAGCCGCTGTGGACCAGCAGTGCCCACAGATGCACTGTCGTCCGCACAAAAGCCATGGCTGACAGCAAATATGGTGCGATAAACACTAGAGCACCTCACAGAGAAGGATGCACCATCATCACGTTCATCTCTGCATCCTACCGCGCATCATCAGCGCACAGGGCTCCTCTAACGAGCTAATCACTGACCTCACTCTAATTGACACACGCCTGTAATCTGCGCATAGAAAACAAACATACCATCACAATCTCGCTATAATCCTCCATACACGGCTAATCTAGATGTCAGACGCGGGCTGGACGTGTTAGTCCGCACAGATGGTCAGATGAATGGTTTCTCCCATCCCTTCACTCTCCTCCACATCACCGCAACAGCCAATCAGCAGCCGCGACGTACACACGCCAATATCGATGTATTTGTGCACTGTTCTGGATTTTCTATCCTCGTGACTCCCGAGAGTGGTGGGCAGCTGGGCTTCAGAGAACGATGTGTCGTTCAACATGATTTTTTTCTCTAATTAGCTTAGACTGGGCTCTTCGAGTTGCATGCAGTAGGCCTTTCTCACCACTTGGTGGCAGTATATAACCAGCAGTCGCACAAAAAAGTCCTTTTGGGAATTAACTGATTAAAAAGTAATTCGTAAGAATGATGATTTTTAACAGTCTATATAGGCATATTAGCATTTGTGTTACATGATGTATATTTTAAATACTTGAATTGTGAATTAGTGGAAGTTTGATAACATGACATGACATTCAAACACTCAGTAACGGTACTCATTTTAACTATATATCGACTCATGAAAATCCTTTTGATATGCCAAAGCAGTTTTTGGTAAAACATGTTTGACAATGCAGACCAAAAGCCTGTGCTCACACCTGATAAGATTGCAAATAAATGCTCAAGAGAGGGCACACATGTCAATCAGTTCAAATGGGAAAACCAGCGCTCACCAAAAGAACACAAAGACTGTTCGATATATATACTCTTGATCTCCCAGAGGTCTGTGTCTCATTGCAGCCAAAAGAGCCACCTCACACACCGGATCACCTTCCTGCGTCATGTATGGAGATGAGAGCTGCTGTCACCAGGAAATTTGTTGTTCTCTGCATTTGACCCTTACTGCCACAAGGGCCTCTGTCAGGAGCACACAGTGACAAGAGCACATCTCTGTTGAGGCCTAAGCTTGGTCAGGACTCTTGGAGCTGGAGGATGTTTTAGTGAAGGTAAACAACCAATGATCAGCTGAATTGGGTCAAGGACAAGAACAATGTAACCAAATAAGTCCACTTCAGAATGGAAGACGCACAGGAGTGAGTTTTCAAGTAAATGATAACACAGCTGAGTTATGAGGATTTTAGGATCACATAGTCCCAGACAGGTTTGCTTGTTTCTATTCCTAAATAACTGAAAGATTCATTTATAAACTGCATGTATTACTTTCTGGGTCTTGTTTTTGTATGATACTAAAATGCCATGGTGATAGTGAGTGTTATGAATACAAAAAGGCCCAAGGTGAAAAAGGTTTCGCTTTCTGCTTTATTAGTGCGTTTAGAATTTAAAAAATATATATATAACAACAATAATAATAATGATGATGTTTTTTGTTTAAAATAAATAAATAAACTTTTCTTCCCTATCCCAAAGTTATAAGGGCTTTGTATCAATGATAATCCAGTCAATTAACTTACACTTCAATATGTTACCGAATGCTGGCCTGACTTGCCCTCAACCATGAGGCAATATGAAAAACCATTTTTTTCTGAAGTAATTGTATTAAGTAAACAACCTAAGACAATTATATGTTCTTGTTATATCATTCTTTCCAATCCATTTTTTTTTTCTAATACATTACAATGCGCTGAAAATATATTTCAGGGAATCTTTCGTTTCTAATTGCATTGAATAGATTATATAAAACTTCCAGGAACGGTCATGTCCCATTTGTTGAATTCACATGTTTCACAATCTGCCCCTGTGTGCAGTAGGTGGCGCTATTGTGACGCTGATGGCTCCAGTTTAAACACGTTCTGGCCACGCCGCTCACGTAAAAGTTTCTTAGATAAATAACTAGAGAACTTTACAGCTGGCCTATATCTTAATGCACTCACATGGACTCGTATGGAATTACACAGCAAAAAAACCAACATCAAGAATAATGACAATATTATACACATTTTCTTTATTCGTAATTATAGGTGAACAATAAAAAACTACATCAGTATCTGCCCTTTAAGTTAATCTTTTTCAGTTTTCTTATTCCAGAAAATAATTGTTGCATTTATTTAAGTTAAAATCTATTCAATACTGAGATTTTAACTAACGATGCAAGGACAATGCCGTTGATATTTTCTTTTTTAATTTATGTATTGAATGGACCAATTTTAGCCCCACATTACATTAAAAAATGAACTTATCCAAAACTACAGAAATTTGACGAGTCACCCAGTTGTCCTTACTTTTGACCTATGCACTCAAAGGGAATGCAATGGAGCTGCAAAGTGGGCAGTCTGTTTTGGTTTTCCATTAAAATTGGGTTAATTGAGTAAAATTCTCTTCAGAAGTATTGAAAAATCTAAAAACCAAGAGATGATGAAAGCTGACTAGCTAAAGTGAAGTTCAGAATTTGCAGTCTCTTCAATGTTTTCAAATAACATATGTATGTATTAATGTTGGTCTTAGGTCATTACTCACCAGATAACTGATCAGCCTCAAGTTTTCTATCTTTTCTAAAAAAGTTTTTTCCTATGGGGATTTTTAAAGGGAAATATTACTTTTGTCTGAAACCACTGTGCGTAGAAGTTGCCAGATAGTAAGCCTCTGTTATGCATATTTTTCAAAACTTCTAAGGGGTAATTTTACTTCCGGAATCTGAAGCTCCACCCACTTCACCACTCCCTACATTCAATTTTCCCGCAATTATCCAAAACTACGGATTTTTGATGATTCTCCCAGCTATGTTTGACCAATTGTACTCAAAGGAAAATGCAATATCCTCAGCAAAAATACAATAAACTTTATTGATCTCACAATGGAGAAATCAATGAGTTAGGCTATACAGACTTGATTTGAATATCACATTTTGTTATGACTGGGGAACTTGAAAACGCTCCAAACACCACATATATCTGGCCGTTTTCTCACCGAATTAAGTATGAAACAACTTCCAGCCAATAATCTGGAAACTGTCACCCTAATCAAGTCGTAAGGAGGGCGCTTCACTATTCCGCATGTACAACACGTGTCCGGTGAAAGTCGTATGTTTGGACACAGGCTGCCTGACCCCTGCGCTCTCCATCACGGCCGCGCGCTGACACATTTCAACCTGATCCATCACTCCTCTTGTTCTGCGCGCGTCCAATTATCCCTGCGTTTATCCTCCCATTATTTCCACCCCTCTCTCTCTTCCCTCCTCTCTCCTTTCCAATTACCATCCCGTGTGTGTATGTGTGTATGTGTGGGGGGGGGGGCAAGCATGCTGGGTAATGAGGGGACTCGGAGGTGTACCAATCTTATCTTAATAGCCTTAAAGGGCCGCTCATTACCGCAAACACTCGCTCTGTCATTCATAGACATCGCCACACGCCGCACACCGCGCCATGGATAGAGTTACTACGGGGACTTGATTGAAGCGGTGGGGCTGGGGGGGAAGTGGGGGAGAGGGAGAGGTAGGAAGGGATGGGAGGGGGGTCTGGTTAAATGTCAGCCGTATGTCTCCTGGGCCCGACAGACGAGGAAGTGACAGGCGAACAATGGCGGCTCCTGGAAGCATTCAGAAGCGCAGCTGCAGGAGAGGAGCGTGTCTGAATGCGTCCTGGATTTTAGGCCTCCACCTGCACCTGTAGAGTCAAGTCTAGTGGCCCAAGCGTACACAAATCTGTCTGGCTTTTAGTTTTGATTTGATTTGATTATTTGCTTATTTATTTCAATTGTGGACATGACAATACGCAACATATTACAACTACTTCCTGTCACAAAAATGAAAAAGAGTAGAATGAAGAAATCTTATATTGCCTGTTCTCTTTCTTCTTCAACGTTTTTTTCCCTGGATAAATGTTTCATTGGGTATAAAGTTACGGTCAGGGTTAGAACTTATAGCATTGATCCTGGACTGTTAATTTCTTGGTGATATCAGATTGTGCTTTGACGCATACAGACGTCTCACTTATTCTGATAATTACTTTGTGAAACTGAAAATGAAATTGGATTAGGCAAAAATGAGTTATAATTGTAATCTATTATTGTAAATCTATGTTAAAGCATGTACACTACTGACATGAGATAGTGTTTTTGTAACCTTGTCCTTTTGTTAATGCCTTTTTATGTCAAAAAATAATAATTTGCATGACCGAATAAACAAACAAACAAATACACAAAACTCAAATGCTCATATTGAACACAGTGTTATATGATTACAATAGCTCAAACTTTATTTAAAATTACTGTTCCAAAGTGTGGGTGGTGGGCCAAAGTTGCAAGACACCTTTGAAGGCATTACAAGGCTAATCTTAACATACTTCTGGATCATGAATCAGCTTTACATATGCCTAAATATGCCAGTTTTTGTGTCCGTAAATTTGAAAAATGGGGGGAAAGAGAATTGAATTGGAATTTTAATGATAGTGGCTATACAGGAAGAAGAAGGTAGTAGGGACTGCATCAAATATATTTATTACAGATGACTCATTTTGCATTATGGGCCATGGATTGTAACAAACATAGATTCCTGAAATAGATTTGAACTTCCAGACATTCCCATCAAGGCTTCACACTGCTGCATCTCACCCAAACCCTCCTGGACACATCCTGGTTGATCACTTTCAGACAGTTGATCATTTATCGATTCACACTGCTTATAACACCAGGCTATTACCTCTGTCTTTAGCACCTGGGATAGAGGGGGGCGGCTGTAGTTTGCCTCGGGACTCTCCTCTTCCACGCTTCATTTGGGACGTGTCACAAATGCCCCCACTCACTCGAGAGCGTAAACGTTATTGGCACATTCAGAAGATTACACACCTCCACCCCGTAGCCTCACGCGACTCCAAACTGTCTC